AGAGGAGAGACAGAGGCCAGGTGTGGCTGGATGGCAACCCGGTAGTGTAGTGAGTCTCCCTCAAGCTGCGAGAGAAGGGAAGTGAAGTACAGCCCTACACGTGCTCCGAATCTAGTCTATGTGAATTTCCTGCCGAAGAGGCATGACCTGAATGTCATCATAAAGACATGTCAGACAAACTGCAGTTGGGGGCGGTGGTAGCAGTTATAAAATATACGGCCTATAATCTTTGAAAATGTGAATATCATGAATGTTAGTGAAAGACTGAGAAACTGTCCAGGACGAGGAAGCGAAACAGACATGACAACTAAATCTACTTGGTTCTGAACTGGATTTGAGGATCAGATGTCAGGGTTAACTTCCTGACTCGGACAGCTGTATTGTGGTCATGTGGAAGAATATCCTTGTTTGCAGGAAATGCACACGAAAGCATTAGAGGCTCATGTGGCATCAGATTAGCAACATACTTTCAAATGGCTGTTGTGAAAGAGTTCCCTGTACTACTTTTGTGTAGTTTTGTGTGCTTTCAAATTACAGTAAAAGGATAGAAAGGATGACGATGGGAACACATTACTCGAGTTGCTCAGGACCTTAGAAAGGGGCCCACACATGTGAGGGGACATGAAGCTTATGTTTTGTTAAATTCACTATCTCTAATTGCAGTAAATAGTATTCTGTGTATATACCAAAAGACATTTTTCCTGTAATTTAATCCTTGCTTTAGCTATGTCTTCTTTCTGAGTTTTTTTTTTTTTGGCCTTCCTACCTTTGCTGAGAATGAATGTGTAGAATGAGTATGTTCTAAACACACTTCGAGGTCAAGGAGCAGCAGCCTGCACCCTGAGACCCACATTACCTAACGCCCTTCGCTGGGCCCACGTAGCTCTGTGCCTACTTTTTTAGCCTGACTTGGTACTAATAGCCAGTGTATTGCTTAAGGCTCACTATAGACACTGTGGCGTTCACTGACCACACTCCCTTCTCCACTGCCTACTTATGGTCAGCATGTATATCATTTGCTTAATGCCCAGGATTTGGTGTTCCACTTGGAAGATAAATTCACAGTGGGCAAGAAATCTTAAAATATCCAACTTTCACTCCCCTTTTTTGTATGCTCAGCTCAGCCCCTCCCTTCTCCTTTCTATAAAACGGTGTGCCTAATGAAAGTACAATCTGGTCCATCCTCTCAAGATGGACAACTCTAAGGTAGAAGGCAGTGATTTGGGCATGAATTTAATTAAGGACATGTTAGCAAATCCATTTGGCTGCACACTTACGCTACCCCAATCTAGATTTTAATGATTAAATAAAGTTTACACTTCATTCTCTTACTGTATCTCTCAGTTGGTTCCAACTCAGGAAAAAAAGGGGGGGCGTGTTTTTTATTGGGTCCTATTAAAGGACAATACAAATAAAAAATGATAGCAACTTCCAAAGTGATGAAAACAAATAATGAAAAGCAGCACAATAATGTGAAGTATAGGGGGCGCCTGGGTGGCTCAGTGGCTTAAAGCCTCTGCCTTCAGCTCGGGTCATGATCTCAGGGTCCTGGGATCGAGCCCCACATCGGACTCTGCTCAGCAGGGAGCCTGCTTCCTCCTCTCTCTCTCTGCCTGCCTCTCTGCCTACTTGTGATCTCTGTCAAATAAATAAATAAAATTAAAAAAAAATAATGTTTAGTATATTTTAGGAAGTAGAATCGACAGGACTCAGTGCTGGATTAGATATGGGGGGATACATACAGGGGTCCCTAAGACCATATCATGTTGGGAATTCACTAGAATGACTCATGGAATTCTCATGCTAATATTATGACAAGATATTATAAGGGTACACATCTGGATAATAAGGAAAAAGGACACAGGTGGAAAATGGAAGAATCTAGGTGCAGGCCTCCTTATGTTCTCTCCCTCTCTGAGGGGTAACACGGAGCTCACTCTTCTATCAGCAATGAAAATGCAGAAACAGGTGTGCAATGTTTTTGCCTAGGGAATCTTGTTAAAGACTCAAGCACCCAAAGTTTTTATTGGGGGCTGGTCATGTTGGAACCTCTGCCTAACATGTACCAAAGTCCTAGAGTCCCAGAAGGAAAGCAGGTCGTGGTCAGCATAAACCATATTGTTTGTACAAACAGTTTAGGCCTAGCGAGGCATCCTTATTATTTAGAGAAAATCTTACATCAATGTAGGGAACTATTTGCCAGCCAGATTCCCAGACGCCAGCTAGGGGCCAACCTTACAGGCAGAGCTTTACCAGTCTTAGCTCAGTTCTATCAACTCTTCTGCACAGGAGAAGTGACAAAAGCGGAGATGTGGAGATGTGAGTATGGCATCCAGGTTTCTCCCTTAAACATGTAGATGAACAGCATGTAGTTGTCACTTATGGAGATGGAGGGAACAAAGGAAGTATAAGTTTACAGGAGAACATTAATATTTCAATCTTGAACACATAAAACTGAAGGTAGCAATGAGCTGTTAGGTTAAATTGTGCTTTGGTGCAACCATAAACAACCTTAGAACTTCAGTGGGTTAAGGGGCGCCTGGGTGGCTCAGTGGGTTAAGCCTCTGCCTTCGGCTCAGGTCATGATCCCAGGGTGCTGGGATCGAGCCCTGCATCAGGCTCTCTGCTCAGTGGGGAGCCTGCTTCCTCCTCTCTCTCTGCCTGCCTCTCTGTCTACTTGTGATCTCTCTGTCCAATAAATAAATAAAATCTTTAAAAAAAAAAAAAAAGGACTTCAGTGGGTTAACACAACAACTGTTTATTTCTCACTTGTTACATTTCTTTCATGGCTTGGTGGAAGGTAGTGACTGGTGGGTGGTCTCTGTTCCACATGGTCACTCAGGGACCCAGGCTGGTAGAGGTTCATCGTCTAGAATGTCTGTGGTTGTGAAAAAGAGAGAGAGGGAGAGAGAGATGGAGAGGTGGAATTGGAGCTCTTCTATGCTTCCATCTAGGAGTGTCACACTGCATATTCACCCACTGACCACTGGCCAAAAGTGGTCACAGAGCCTCAACCAACTGTAAATGGGGTGGGAAATGTGGGGCAGTAGATGGGATATTTGGTGAACACCACTGTTGCTGCCACAATATCCAGGCAGGAATCACACAGAGGTACCCACAACAAATGGATATTACGGAGACTTTCAGTTAGGAGTCATAAGCAGATAGGTTGTATTTAAAGCCACCCTCAGTTTCTCATTATCTGAATCCCAAGAACCTAGTAAGAGCAATGTTGTCACCCTTTTCTTGTTTGAGAGAATAGGAAATCCAGTGCCGCTGATACTCTTCAGACCTCCCTGTAGTGAACTTATCAGCACACTGATGTCTTCATAAGCTCACAAAACAGATTATAGTTTAGGATTGAAGGCAGCTTTTGAACTCCTCTAAGAGAAAGGGCTGGTCCTCAAAATACCTGCCTAGGCACAGCCTGAGGCTCAGAGCACAGGAGAGGGGCCCACAGAGGTGAAAGGGGGCATTTAAAACTATTTTTAGACAAAGATACTGATAAGCAAGTTCACAGAGGAAAAGTTGCTTTCCGTGGTAGGTACAAAACTCACACCAGGGCTACCACTAGGTGTCAATAGTAGGAAAGGAAAAGATGAAAGAAAAAATCAAGGAAGGTTCTAGAGGAAGATGTAGCTTGGTTCCAAGGAGAGAAAAGGTAGAAAGTGTCCCCACACTCCCCCTAAAGTTTTCTAGGCATTTCATATTACATGATTAACCCCATTAATACTTTAGGTAGAGATAAAAGAAACCTTCCATTTCTCTCCCTTTTATGTATAAATGGGTACATAACAAATGTCTTCAGTTTATTAGAAATCAGATTTAAGGTCAGTGAATCTAAAATGTGTCTTATTTTAATGTCCAGATTATGCCAAGGCAAGAAAGAAGGATTTTTCATTAGATACAGCAAACCTTATTAGTCCTTCCATGACACAAGCTAAAGCTTGCTATTATCTTCCATGTGCCATAAAATAATTTGGATGGCTAACTGATAATGTAAATTATAATAATCCAAATATATTTTATTATCACTTTGGTAAAGCAGTTCATCAAAACTAGATGGTTAGTGTTTGCTTGGTTCAGTGAAATAAATGGTCAAGAGGGAAATTATTATTTAATTACATTAAATATAGATTGTGTTTTTCAATCTTGAGTTCACACTGGAGTCACTTGGGAAGTTAGAAAAAATATATTGACTCCTCCTACCCCCACGCCTACCCCACCCCCCAGGTTTCATTGGTCTGGGCATCATGACTGTCTAAAACTCCCAGATAACTCTAAGGCATAGCCCGAGTTAAGAAGTACAGCATTAGAAGACAGTCAAGGACACTTTAAAAACATGCCAGAATCAAGTAGTTTCCAGCTTTGAACACAAGTAGGAAGTGGATTTTTGTATGGGTTTTTTGTTTTTGTTTTTAATTTGGAAAGTATAGAAAAAATGTTGCAATGTTAAAAAAAAAAAAAGTGAAAACCAACCACCATCTCCAATGCAACCACTGTGAAGTTTAAAAAAAATTTTTCTTTTATAAAAACCTTATGTACAAACATACCTATTTGGATCCTGAGAAATAATTTTTATTTACACGAAAGAATTTTGTATTGTATACTTTCCTTTTTAACACTCAATACATTCATGAAAGCTAGTCTGTGACTGTCTACGAAGTAATTCACATGTCCACACGATTTTATTTAACCTTCCTTCCCTGTTGCTGATCTTCAGCTATTCTCATTCTTTGCTTGAAGTAAGCGTCCTTATACATGGATCATATGCACTTTGAGGAACTTTTGGAAATATTATTAGGTACATTTCTGAGAGTGAGATTGGTGGGCGCATTTATAATGTGTACGTGGCGGGGGCCTGGCTAGCTCCGTTGGAAGAGCCTGAGACTCGACCTCTAGCCCCAGGCTAAGTGTAGAGATTGCTTAAATACGCAAATAAACTTAAAATAAAATGTGGATAAATGTAGTGACAGTAACAAACATTCCAAAATAAATAGATGCCACCTACGTTTTGACAGCACACTTTCACGACTATCAGTGCGGAGGTCGCAGCGGAGCAAGGTTCAGGGGGTGGGGAGGGTGGAGGTCAACCGCCTGCAGTCTCCGGGGCCGGGCGCTCTCGGGTCACGTGGGCGACTTCGCTCCGCCCCGCGGAGGTTCCGCGCGGTGCTCAGAACCCTGGCAGGCGCAGTAGGGTCACGCGGGCTCCGCGGCTGGCTGGTCTCGCGGAGGCGGAGCGAGGAACTGGAGGAAGGTAAGTTCTGTTCTCGCGCGGGGTTGGGCGGGGCTCGCGAGCGCCGCTGCTTCCGCCTGGGCTGCCGGCCGGAGCTCCGGTTTCCGGTGGCGGCGGCTGGGAGCGGTCGAGCGGCAAGTTGTTGGCCCTTGCTCCCGGCCTTTCTCAGGAGGGGCACGCGTTCCTAACCGTTAACCTCCAGGCCCCTTCCGCCCAGAGGCCTGCCGAGCTTGTTCACCTTGGAGTCTGGTCCCACGCGGGACTCGCCTCCTGGATGAGGCAGGAGGAGCGTTTTTTGTGTTTTGTGTTTTGTTTTTTTAAATTAGCTTTCCTGGCATTTGTGCGCGCTAAACCTGCCCAGGGGTATTTGCAGCTCCGGCCGTCGTAGAGACTCGTCTCCCGAAGTCTGTAGGTGGAACAGCCCACCGCATCAGGACAGCCACACGTAGACGGTGCCTCTGGTTCCTGGGCGCCTCTCCCTGTAACTACGGTTGACCGTCTTTACTAAAGTGTTTAATACAGCTTGAAGCTATGCGTTGATAAATTGTCAGAGCTGGAAGGACCTTAGAGATGACAGCTGACATGATTGGAGCGTTTCCCGCGGGCGGTCCTGCTCTAAAACACTTGATTTATAGTGAAGCGTGTGTTCCCCACTGCAGCCCTATGTGGCAGACCTTTTTTACGTGCAACTGCAACGCGGTGAAGTTAAGCAACTTGCCCCAATTCACACACAGCACGGATTCAAACCCATATGAACTCACCTGTGATCACAGATCTCTAATAGCAGGGACATGGTAGCGGACCCCAGAGCAGCTACGTGACTTTATTAAATGATTAGGAAACTATTCGGTTTTAAACATCTGGTGACGCAACTACTTGCACATTAGCATTCCTAATTTAAAAAAAATTCAGAATGATGTTTGGTGATACACATATACATATATACGTTCACAGATATCTTTATTTTGCTAAAAGGTTTTGTACTTTTAAGGCAGTTTATTTGCAGGCCAGGTGTTTTTATAAACCTGTGGGTGCTACTTGGATGAAATGTTAAGATTTTACCAATATTCACCAAATTTCGACTCAGAAGATAGAGGTTTGAATCTTGACTGCTACTTGATGGTTTTAGGAAACTTTTCATTAAAAAGGATCCTTTACCCCTAGTTTACTCATCTGGAAAATAAATATACTATTTACCCCTTGGAGGTTTTGTGAGGATTAGTGAACTCAGGTATGCAAACAGTCCAAGAGCTTGGCACTCACTGAAGGATAGTTTTATCTACTATTATTCTGCCATCCAAAGAGATATCTAAGGCATTTCTCTTCTCTGAACTAAAAGCAAGGGTGTCACCCTAGAGTTATGCTTTCTGATAATGTGTAGGCCAAGGCCCCAGACTTAGTAAAAGTGCCTTTGTCAGAGCTCAAGAGGACTAACAAGTAAATTCCTATAATTTCATGTCTCTCTTGTTTCCAATGGTTTATGGAAACTTTTTTTTTTAATTCAACCTGTGCTGGAAATGTATCTGATAGAGATTGATGATCCATTTAGCTAAACCATAATTTTATATGGTGTTAGCACCTTTAGAAACCCATTTGAGGCATAGGCCAAAAAACATTAAGAGGAAAATCGAGCAAAATGGCTAAATTTTTCAGAAGTAACTTTTCTTCATCTAGCCCCCAAACTGTATAGATCAGTTAATTTTTCACCTTCTTTTTATTTAGTTAAGATTTGATATCTTAAAGTTGACTCAAAATAAAGGAAATATGTGGGTGCATATGAATAGTGCATCAAAGTAATAGTAATACAAACATACATACAATACAATAAATTGACTTTTGTTACTGTCTGGACCGTGATATTCACAATATTTAATTAAGTATAATGTGGGTGTTAATTATAAATATTACCAGATATCATAAGTAAATATGACCATTATTTGAGAGATATGATAATATTTTCCTAAGCAAAATGCAAGACTGTAATCATAGTTCTCTGAAACCTTTATCATTGACTGCAGCATTCTCTGCTCTTTTCTTATCAGCCCCTGCAAAGTTCACTGCAGTTTTCCTTGCTTGGGGTGCAAAACCTGCTGAAACTCAGTTTAAAGAGACTGAAACTTGAAGGATTGTATTTTGTTCTCATTTCTTTGTAAGTGGGGGAGAACTTAATTAACTTTTGATGCTATTCCACATCTCATGTATTTTGTTACTTGCTTGATACTAGAATTTCTTTTCTAATTTTTTGGCCTAGAAAAAGAAAATATTCATTTATTTCCTCTTCTAGTGCCAACTTTTTAAATAAGCTGAATAAATTCTCAAATAGTCCCCTCATGATCTAAGTCCACAGACACATTTTCTTGGTTTTTGGATCATTTGCTACACAAATATAGGATACAACTTAAATGTTAAAAGAGTAATTTTAAATATAAGACTAAATGTGATATTTTGAGATGTAAGAAATTTTGTGTTTACTATCACCTTGCTTTTCTTTATAAATTTACTTTATCTGTACATATCCATTATAGATTGTTTTGTTTTGCCTGTCTTTGCACTTCGTAAAATAGAAGCATACTCTGAATTCTTGAAAAAAAATTTTCCTTTAAAGTTATATTTTTGAAATTAATCCAACTTGATGTACCCATTTTTTACTACTATGTAGCATTCCACTGAATGAACATAAAAATTCTACATTCTACAGTTGATGCATTTTGAGTTTTTTTCCTGTGTTTTGCTCGTCTTGTGCATGTCTCCTGGTGTACCTGTGCATGTTTCTCTGGAATATACTTAATGGGGGATTAATGGGTCATGGATATGTTAGAAGAGTCTAGGTAATGCCAAATTGTGGTATTGCTAATTGAAGTCATCACTACCAATTTCTCCATATCTTCACCAATACTTGGTATAATTTTTGCCAGTCAACTGGATAGAAAATAGTATCCCATTTGTGACTTTGCCTTGCATTTCTTGTATTTTTTCCTACTGATGAGGTTGAGCATCTTTACGTGTGATCACTGGCCATTCAGGCTTCTTCATCTGTGAAATGTTTGTCTCTTTTGCCCATTTTTTTTTTTTTTGCACTTTCTTACTGGTTTATAGAATTTCTTCATCTATTCTGAATCATAATCCTTTGTTGGTTATATGTGTTGCAAATTTTTTTTTTTTTCAGCCTATTTCAGTTCATCTGTTCCCATTTTTCTTATCTTTACGGTTCCTCTATCTGTCCTGTCACAAAATGTTATAAAAGCTGCACACCCAATACTGTGGAGGTAAATATTGCCACCTGAGCCATTTGTATACTTTGGGTACCTGCCAGTACGAAGCAAAACAAGATAACTGTTTAGAGTTATAGTAATGCAGCCTTCTGTCAGCCATAGCTAATCCAGAAAATCATGGCATGGTCCTCATTGACTTTTCGTAAAAATACTGTATTTTTGTTTTTCATTGTAAACTAATTTTTAACTTTTTTGTTTGAGTATAGTTGACATAGGATGTTTTATAAGTTTTGGGTGTAAAACATAGTGATTCAACTTCTCTATACTTTATGCTATGCTCACCATAAGTGTAGCTACCATCTGTCACCATACAACCTATTACAATGTTACTGACTGTATTCCCTTTGCTGTGTCTTTTATTCTCTTGACTTATTCATTCTGTAACTGGAAGCCCATATCTCCCACTCCCCTTTACGGATTTGCTACCCCCCCCCCCGACCACCACCACTTCCTTCCCTTTGGCAGCCATCAGTTCTCTGTATTTACAGGTATGATTCTGCCTTTTATTACTTTGTTTATTCATTTGACTGAAATCACATATTGTTTGTCTTTCTCAGTTTGATTTACTTATGTGAGAGTTTTTTTTAATAGCATGTTCTTTTTTCCATAATTTAAAAAGTAACTAGGTTAGTTAGAGCAAGAGTTAACAGTGCAAACTCCAGAGTACAAATTTGACATCTCTGTAATTTCTTAAACTTGGTTTGTGTAATGCTTTCCTTTATACCTTGAATTCAGAGTTCCTTCCTGCCTCTCCCCATCAACACACACACACACACACACACACACACACACACACACACACACGCCACTTGCTACACTTCAGTTTTGGAGCCCAGGCTTATATTGTAAGATCTAATACCTATCTTTGTTATGGCTCAGAATTACCCTTCTCAAAATTGTAGCCTATAAATTCCTTCTTTCAAAAGCTCACTCCTAACACATTCACATAGAGATTTTTACTTATAAATAGTAATTTCTATTTTACAAATTTATTTTTTAAATGATCCATGCTCTTTTCCTCCCAATATTTCTAGACTTCCAATCAGTCATAGAAGATTAAATATTTAGAGAAGCCATCAGAATGCCTGGAGACTCTTGGTCTTGCCACATAGCAAATTTTCCCTCTTGCTGTGGGGTAGTAATTGAGTCTATGGTTTATAACCGTTCTAAGCTAGGTTCATCAAGGTCCAAGTGCCCCTTTTAAAGAAGTTGCATATATATGTTTTTATGTGAAATGTTAAACTAAGACTTGAGTAAAATTTAAAAAGTAGTTCCCTGTTACTAACAAAAGGTATATTGTCATTCTGTACAACTTCCTATGAATATGACAATATTACCGTATTTGAAGAGAACATGGATTTGGAAGGATCATCTTTCAAAATTAGAATATTTGAAGTTGACATGTGATTTATCATTTTGTTAAGTATCTTAAATTACAGACAATTGTATTTTGTTTACTATCATGGACATTCCATGGCAACCTTCCTGATGTTTAACACCATCTGGGTCTCTACAACTATCATGGGCCATCACTTGGATTCATTTCCTTTTCCTTTTCTATATGTAATTCCTTATCTTGTGTAAGGCAGAGTTGGATGCCTCTCAAGTTATCTGGAATTTTCTCTAGTTTCCCAATCTGATGAAATCCATAAATTAATACACTTGTTAAAATGGACCACTGCAATAGCTTTCTGATTTCTGTGTTTCCTTCTTATTTTGCTACAATCTATTCACACAGTGAGGGCATTATTTTAAAAATAGATCATGTCACTCTTCCCTGCTTTACACCCTTCAGTGCCTTCCCATTGCTCTTAGAGTAAAATCCATACACAGTGAGGCATGACCTGGCTCCTGTCTCTCTCACCAGACTTACTCGTTGTGCTCCAGTCTCCTATCTGTTCCTCAAATTAACCAAGTCTCCTCCCTCCACCCCCCTCTTTCCTCAGGCTTTCATATTTGTTATTCCTTCAGCCTGGAATGCTCTTCCTTCAGCTCTTAAAATGTCTAGTTCATTTGCATTTTTAAATTCCAGCTCAACTATCCATCCAGAGTCACCTTCCCAGGCTTTTCTTTGCAAAATGGCCTCCCTTTTCTCTCTCATATTGCCCAGTTCATTTTCTTCATGGCTTTTAAGGTAGTGCATAATCACCTCATTTGTGTATTTGTTTACTGGTGTTTGTTGTTGATCTCACCAATCTAGAATATAATATCTAAAGGACAGAGACCTGATCTGATTTACTTCCCTGAAGTGCCAGTCACGTAATATGTGTTCAGAAAATACTTATTCAATGAATGATAATCTCCAACAAGAGAACTTGGCAAAAGGAGAATTTGAAGATCTATTGTTGAAATTTTTCTTTTGAAATTCTGTAATTCTGTGCTAAAGATTATTGTCAGTAGTTACTTCTTGAGAATTTTGTTTGCTTTTTAGACATATATTCCTCCCTAAATAGATTACAGAGAAACTTGTCCATCGGTGACCAAAGAAAAAAAGTAGGCTGTGATTAGATGTTACCGTGAACTTTTAATTTCTTTCATATAATTTTTTTCATATAATTTCTTTCATGTAATTGAAGTAGTGCTGCTCCAAGATAATGGTCAAGTTACACATAAGATCTCATGCCCAAATGCTGCAGGCAGCCTCTTTCTTGTCCACCCATATCGGGGATTGAACTTGCCTAATGCCTGTTGTGAAGCTGGATATTATCCAGATGGTTGAAGATCCCCACTCTCCAGCAGAGGGCAGAAACCATGAAGGGATATCTGAAAATTTAATTACTTTAAAAATAAAGTCAGTTGAGTAATCTCAGTTTGTGTCTTGTGATTTTTATTTCACTACATGCAAAGATTGAAAATGTGCTCTTGCCTAGGGAAGAAGGTTCTTGCCAACCCTAAAATAATATTATACAACGTTCTTTGCACTTTCTGGAAGTTATAGACCACCACAGTCTCTACCCCGAGATAGGGAGGAGGAGCAGGAATGTTTCCAGAAAATTTGGGATTAACTCTAATGGAAAGGGTGGGGATAAGAAGAAAGAGTTGGAATTAGGAGTGGAGTATGAAGAAATATAGCAGTTCTTGCCAAAACAGGATGTATAATTTTATTCAGAAACTGTCATAGCATAAAACAAAACCCCCAAATGGAAGGCCCTCAGGAAAATCCTCTACAAGGCCCGACAGTCCTGACACTGATGTATCTTGACGTTTCCCTCTCACAGGAATTAACAGACCATGACTATGTTCTTAAAGTATTATATAAGGTCTCTTTGAAATGGTTGCTTTCAAAAAAGTAGCCTGAATATCTGTGCTGATAAAAAATATATTTAGAGTACCTGAAAATTCTCCACGAAGACTTCTTTGTTTAGAAATATGGGTTTACATACTTACATAAATTAATTGAAGAGAAAGCCATCTCTTTGAATTCCCAAATAAGGCAGAAGAAAGTGATGTTAATTTCTGTCTGAGTTAAGAAAATGAAATGCGCCCATACATACCTATCCTCTTGTACTGGAATAGTTATCTGGTTGATTTCTAAGACAGATCCAGGCAAAATCAAATGAGTCACCTCAACCAGGAGGTACAAGACTATTCAGACTGTCAAAGAATCCTACCTTTAGGAGAAGGCTGGAAATAACACTGATAACTGGGTGTTGTTTAGCATTGAAATGATAGGAAATAAAAGAACAGTGAAACTTCAGTCTCTGGGTCTTGGGACTTTTGAAATATCCATTTTACACAAAGAAATGAATCTGAGTCCAGCCTCAAAGTGGGGAGTCTTCCCTAACTTGGACAAGCTTTAAGAGTCTCTAACTCAAAATCATGACTAACTATAACCCAGTATTTATGAATGTTTTATTTTATATAGCTATAAAAAAGCCTTTATCAATCTTAGAGATCTAAATATATATATAAATATGTATATTTATATATTTGTATATATTTGTATATTATGTATTTTATATATATAAATATACATATATATGTGTGTGTATATGTATATATATATATATATATATATATATATATATAAAATATCTCTGTGAGTTAAGTTGTAGCCAAATTTGTGAAGACTACTTTTTTTTTTCTTTTGTTCAACTAGTATGGATGTTGATGGCTCTGAACAAGATCCCGAAATGAAGGAATATTCTTCTGTCTATGTTGGCAGAGAAGAGGACATTAAAAAATCTGAAAGAATGACAGCTGTTGTGCATGATAGAGAAGTGGTCATTTTCTACCACAAAGGAGAGTATCATGCTATGGATATTCGCTGTTACCGTAAGAGTTGATTTTTCATTTGTAAACCTTGTATATTAGTTTGCTAACCACACAACTATCAAAATTTCAGGCTTTTTTTTTTTTTTTTTAGTGACTAGATATAATATTTAATTTCTTTTCAGACTCAGGAGGACCTTTACATTTGGGAGATATAGAGGTATGTAAAATTAAGTCTATCCCCTACAAATTCATGTTTCTTATAGTCTATATTTCATTCTGTATGCAAAAATCATTTATATTTGGGTTTGAACTGTATTTTAATGCTTTGAGTATAATTGCTGGTATTCCAGGAATTCACAGTCCTACAATGTAAAGGAAACTATTTCACAGATGAATAGAGGAAGTATGCATGACTTCCGATCTAGAAATTATACTTTGAGGTATCTATCCTACAGATACCATTGCACAAATGTTCAAGTATATATATGGGAGAGGTTTACTGTGGCATTATTTGTTGCAATGAAAAATTGAAGGCCACCTAAATGTTTTAACAATAGGAAACAGTTTAAATAAACTGAATAGCCATAGCCATGCTATGGAAAACTATGTAACCACTGCCTCATTAATTTGTGAGGCAGATCTGTATGTGTTGGTATGGATGGATGTCAGCAATATATTTTTGAGTAAAAAAAGCAAGTCATGGGATGATAGGTCTAATGAGATCCCACTTTTAAAATAAAAAATATTCACTTTGTTACTTTATACATTTCTACACAGTTTGTTTTCAGTGAGTATATATTACGTGAATAATGTAGTAAAAATATAAATATGTATATTTTAAAAAGGAAACCACACATTGAATGCTTATTTCAGGAAGGAATAGGGAACTTACTTCCTTGCATTCCCAAACTAGCTAGCTGCCTTATTTCTTGTTTTCTACTTCATAAAACTGAATGCTACATCCCTCTCCTTCCTGTCACCAGCGCCCCGCCTCCCCCTGCCACCACTGGTACAAAATACAAACTGAAACAAAATGTAAGCACCTAGTGATGATAATGTGAAAGAATTTCCTTCAGTTTTGGACCATAATGAGACCTATAAGACTTTGTACTTCAAGTGTGGTCCACAGACCAGCAACATCGATGTCACCTGGGAGCTTCTTGGAAATACATAATCTTGTGCCCTACCTTAGGACTACTGAATTTAAGCAAGATCTGCATTTAAACAAGATCCAGGTGATTCCCATGCTCTTTAAAATTTGAGAAGCACCAATTTAAGGCCGTTAAAAAGTTGGGAATTGACTACTTTGGATTACAAATTGCTCCTCAGTTAACATATACACTCATGCCTTTAGTAACTCTTTATATTTGAAACTTACCATTCTTCCAGCAGCTAGTGAAAGTTCCTTTAGAAACACTTGATGCCTTTGCCCCATTTCTGTCACGGAAATTACATTAACGTCTAATAGATAACATCATAACTTAAATCACATGGTACAGTTGCCCAAGCTCATTTCCTGATAAAGTTCTAACAGGCTGCGTTTCTAATCAAATGCAGCAGGAACTTGATGACTGCTAAGATTAGGTTCCACCTTATGCTGAATAATTTGTAAATGGAAGGAAAAAAGCGAAACTGGCCTATTCTTTAACCTGGCTTTTCTGCAATAGAATCTGTTCTGAGCCTGAGATTTATTGTGAATGTTGGAAATGTCAGACTATTAAATCATTTATTTTCTTCCCCAGGATTTTGATGGACGACCATGTATAGTTTGCCCCTGGCATAAATACAAAATTACTTTGGCAACAGGAGAAGGACTATATCAGTCTATAAACCCTAGAGATCCATCAGCAAAACCCAAGTGGTGCTCCAAAGGAGTAAAGCAAAGGATTCATACAGTGACAGTGGACAATGGGAATATTTATGTGACTCTTTCTAATGAACCTTTTAAGTGTGACTCTGATTTTTATGCCACTGGAAACTTCAAAGTTATTCGGAGTTCTTTCTGATAAAACTATATGGCAATGAAAAAGTTGTGTATGTTTTGAATATATTAGAATAATCATACTTCAATACCAAAGAGTATTAATTTTTCCAACATAGGCACATTTATTACTTATCTTTAAAAATCATATAAAGCTGAACAGTTCAAAATTATACATATTTACTGTGATGTAAGGATTATCAGGATATATAAAATACATTTCATCCAGTCCTCTGGATTGACTGGAACCTGAAGGCTATAGGTTTGGAATGTGCATTTTAAGAAGGGTGGAAATATTTGCAATAACCACAATGAAGAAAAGGTAGAAAGTTAAATTTAATAAGAAATATGGGGGTAATCCCTATTTTGATGTAGCAGACTTTATCATGCAAAAGTTTTAATATATACAAACTAAACAGAGTAGCATAATAAACTCTCATCACCCACTTCAACAATTATCAGTATTCTTCCATTCTTCTATTCTCGTATTCTTGTTTCACTGGCTGGACACACTCTCCACCTCTGCCCCATTTGGTTGTTATTCTTACTTTTTATAAGTAAAATTTAAATACACTGAGATGCTTCAATCTCAATTATTCAGTTTTTCCAAATATATAGCAGACTTTTGACACTTAAAATGCTGCCTCCAAAATGGGATCAATTTACAATGCTTCATTTAAAATTAAGACACTTATTCGACATTTCCATAGAACACCTGGTGCTCACCGCAAGTGCACTCCTTAATCTTCCTGTACTGCACATCGAAACCAAATAAATCTTGGCTCAGTTTCTCTCAGGCCAAAGCAAACACTCTCACAAGCAAGGAAGACACACACAGCTGCTGTCCAGCCATGAGAGATGTGAAGTCTCTTACACAGTGAGCCAATGTGCTTTGAATGTCCCATGTGAAATTTTCAAGCAAAGGTTTGTTTTTGTTTTGCTTTGTTTTTGAGAATGTTGTGATGTGTGTAGAACTAAGTGTTTTATGTAACTGTTACGGAGAAGAGATAGAGGTTGTTGTTCCTCAGTCCTTCCTGCTGAGTTCACAGGCAGGGTGGATGCGAAGTCGGCCCACCCTGCTTTCACAGGCCTGTTATTTACGAACAGCACTATTCTGGTTGCCTGGTGCCCACACCGTACTGTAACACTTTGGGTGCTCACCATCTAAAACTTGGCAGCAAATAGTAGAAAATAAGAAGTAGAATCAGAACCAGATGATCACATTATGAATTCAGAGTGCAAAAAACTGTCGAAATTGGAACTTTGTCTCTAAGCACAGTAATCTTAATGGCCTAGGTTTTAATTAAAGCCCCAAACCTAATACTGAACATTCTAGGGGGACCACCTGGACTCCTTTCCTTGGTTATTGTGTAAATAATAAATGAATTAAGTACCTATCATTAAGGGTCTGCTTACGAGACCTTTGCTACACATTATTACATTTCCTTTTCTGATGGAATATGGGTAACATGAAGTGATACACTTGTTACTCATTTCTCAGACTACTGAAAACCCAAGGTTTGATTTTTATAAATACTTTTCTGGCAGTAGCTATTTACCTGGTACAGGAAACGTACCATCACTCGATGGGTAAATCCTAGCCAATTATCTCAGGGGCTAACACTCCAATGACCAGTCAGGCCTTAACACGTGTCCAGAATTTAAGACATGTGGAAGAAACCAAAGTTTCTTGCCTGCCTTCTGCAGGCAAAACAATGGCCCTCATTTGCTGGCCAGTTACAGAAGCATTTTCTCTCAGGACACAGTGGCAATAATGAGGAATATGGACTTGATTTCTGGTTCTAAATGTGTTCCTTCAGATCTGGAAATAAAAAATGTCATGTCATATCCTACCCTCACTTACAGAACTCTCTTATCAGATTTGTAAATAATATTTTGTTTTAAAATGTATTATGTCTGTGAATTACAAGTCCTTCATAACTCTACAGATGAGTTCAAAAAAGGATCGATAAAAGGCAGATTCAAACTATGCAGCCTGTTGATAGAAAATAAATATCCTTTTATTATCTCTGAAAAAGATATGTAGCATTTTGATATGGAGGTACTTTTCCCCCAGATGAATACAGTTGACCCTTGAACATTGCAGGGGGGTGGGATGCCAACCGCACACACAGTTGGAAATCCACATATAACTTTGGGCTCCCCCAAAACTTAACTACTAATAGTCTACTGTTGACTGGAAGCCTGACTTGATTATATACACAGTTAACACATATTTTGAATGTTCTATGAAAAATCATAAGCAAGCGAATATACATTTCCAGTACTATAATTCATTTATCAAAAAAGATCTGCTTATAAGTGGATCTGCACTATTCAAACCCATGTTCAAGGGCCAACTATAATGGAAAGGTACTTGAAATAGGTTTTAATAAAAACATAAATGTATTATAAATATGCCCATGTTATAAATGATAGCATAAAGTCTAACCCTCCAAAGGGTACACTTTCTTGTTCATTAAAAAATATCATAGTCATACTTTTACATCAAGATTCACTTTATTTTCTCTATCATATAAATACTTGAGAGTGACATTTTAAAGCAGAGCAGTCAATATATGAAAACTAGTTTCCTGGTTTTGTGAGATGAAATGCGATTAGATAATAACTCTCAAGCTCCACTCAGTAATACTTATGTTCCAATTTGCTCATTCATTCATTTCAGCTGATTGGTCAAACACAGAATGTAAAACCTGGATCTTATTATTCAACTTATTAGCAGGAAGTCTGGGGCAATCTGCAATATTGTCTGGTTTCTCCGGTAATGACCTGTAAGGTTTTGCTTTGATTTCACCTTCAGGAAAGGTAGGCTCAGAAAGCACAGGCTCAGAAAAGGCTTTTCTAAGATTTTCACTCTCTTCTCTCTTTTGCCTTATGGATTCTTCTTCTTGGAAAATTTTCTTTACCTTCTCCAACACAGCATTAACACAGACAGTCTAATAATAAAAAAATTTTTTTTTGAAAAGTAAAGTTTCTTTTTAAGCGACTGAACTTCCAATAATAAGTCCAATAAAATGTGTAACATAAAGTCATTAATCTACTTATTCTAATAAAGAAGCACTTCCTTTCCTGGCATATGATAAACATCAGGAGGTTGATTCCTTGTTATAAATATATTACAACACCATCTAGAAAGAAAATTAAAGCATAGTGTGCTTCAATAAATACATGCTTTGCTCTTTTCCACCCAATTCATTAAATGTTTTATATCTTTACTCTCTGATTTAATTAAATGAGACTCCTTTCTTCTCCTGAATTAAATGAAACACTTTCTGGGAGATTGAATTTGTCCCCAAATGTGTTAATATCTCAAAGTTGGCTTCTAGTTTTTACTTTCTCCCCCTACACTTTGCTTATACCTATGTGTACAATTGAAGGGGCGTAAATACATTAGGTAGAATTTAGTAAGCTAGTTGATCAATGATTTCTAAGCAAGCACATGATCCATTTTCCCTCAAAAAATGCCATTCAGTACTTTGAGTGTCAAAACAAAACACACAGAGAAATATAACTGAAAATTGGGAATCACTAAGAACTGTAATGATGAAGACGATGATGATGCTATTTAAGGCAAGCAACAAGAATAATACAATCCATAAAATATAAGAAGACCTAAACTAGCTTATCTTACCAAAGCAATGCCTAAAGCTCACATAATAGGCTATAAACTCTTAGAAGGTTTTCCTAAAGAAGGTAATAGAGAAAGGATTCAGGGCCTCAGTTTCTTCCTGATCTCCTGCCTCCTCTTTTTCTTGGCCTGCACTGCACTATAGAATGAGGGAATACCAGATGCTTTCCTTCACTTCCCTACAGTTAGCACATGGTCATGTGACACTGTTTTAGCCAACAAAATAAAATATATCTGCCGGGGAGGAGGTCAGGAGGGATTTTTGAAAGTTTTTCTCCTACATGAAAAGAAAGATTCTTTTGTCTTTTGCCTCAATAACTATCCCCTCCTCCCTGCTTTGAACTCTGATATAGATAGGGTGCCTGAGCATGAGGCAGCAAACCTAAGGACCAAAACAATAAACAAGATAGCATAGGAGGAAGGTGGGAAGGTCCTGGATTTAGATGACATTGTAGACCCACTGTGCAAACCTGGGAACCACCTAACTCTAGACTTCTGATTAAGTGAGATATTTAAATGTCTTCATCAGTTAAGGCACTGCCAGCTATTTTTTGTTACTTGCATCCAAGTGTATCCCAACCTAGAGCTATAAACCTTGAGGTCCATCACTTCCAGCTGCAAACAGCTTCATCCGTTTAACCCCCAGTTGGGTCATTTTTTATGTATGCTGTGTTGTGAAAAAAGATTAGGGGAGCACCTGGGTAGCTCAGTCCATTAAGCATCTGACTCTTGATTTTGGCTTAGGTCATAATCTCGGGATCATGAGATCGAGTTCCCTGTGGCAGGATCTATGCAGGGCATGGAACCTGCTTAAGATTCTCTCTCTCCCTCTCCCTCTGCCCCTCCCCCTGCTTGCCTGCTCCTGTACATGCTCTCTCTCTCTCTCCCTTCCCCTCCCCCCAAAAACAGATCAGGAAGCCCTGTCCTATTTGATATATTTCTTCTTCCCTCACCTACAAAATTTTATCTGTGTCCATTCTAACCACTTCTACCAGTCACAGAATATAAAATGTCTTGACTGAAGTCAGTATCTCTGTGTCTATTTGTAATCTATACCCTACCTCTTCTCTACCAATTATTCCCTGCCTTTTCAGCCTCTCCTTCTTGACTGCTTCTTGCCCTGAAACTTATAATGTGTTCAAGTATCTCCCATCTTAAAATAAAAGTCCCTGGAACCCTGTTTCTCTCTTTGACTGCTATATATGCTTGCTTTTGATCAAACCAGGGTCTATATTCATGGCTTTGATATTATCATCTCCTCTTCACTGAAACCTGCATATTTCTGTCTTCCTTATTCTACCACACCACTGAGATAGTTACAAGATGGTTGACTCCAACATCTTTACTACTAGATCTAATGAACACTTTTCAAATCTTTTATTTTACTTGATTTTTTTCTCCTGGTAATTGACATTTAACTGCTCAAAACTTCCTGAGTCTCTATTTCCTTGATGTTTTGTCTCCTGATTTTCTTCCTACTTCTTTCTTCTTAGATTTCTTCTTAGATTTCTTAGGATTTCTTCTTAGCTCCCCTTAAATGTTGCTGTTTTTTACATTCTCATTGATTTTCCACTCTTCTCACTTCCAGACTTTTCACTCTTTCCACAATGGTTCCACTCACAGGACGTTAACTTCCAACATACAATTATTTGCTTTCAAAATCATAATTCCAGCCCTGACCTCTCCTAGACCTTGGGTGCATACATGACCAATTATCAGGTCACCAAAAAACTGTTTCTAATACCTACTTAGAAAGTTTATAGAATGACAAGTCATGTGGGATAATTTCAAATGCCTTCAAGAAATTAGAGTTTAATTTTGGTTTTAGTCTTATTTGTTTTAGTTTCACCACAGCTATTTCATCCCACCCATTTTTTTTTTTTTTGCAGCATTTTGCATCCAAGATCAGTTGGATGTCATTTTTGTATGAGATTCACATTTAAGATATTGAACACGTCTCAAAAATTTTAAACACTTGCAAAATATAAGTTTGGCTCTTTAAAAAACTATTGCTATGTTTATAAAAGTAAGTTCCTTTACTTTTTTTTCAAGGATGTCTTAGCTATTCTTGACCTTTTTCACTTCCCTGTAAATCTTAAAATAAATTAGTCAACTTACACACCTGCTCATATTTTAATTGGGACCACAACCAATCTATAAATAATGGGAAAAAGAATATTATTGTGTATCTCAATATGATTTTAAAAATTAACAAAACTGTGTAAAACCAACTAACAAAAAAGCTGTAAGAATTATTAAGAAAAATTAATGAGGACCTAAATCCATTCTCATGGATTGAAGGGTGGACTTATTCTACTACTTATCAAGACTTCTAAAGCTCTTGTAAATAATACAATGTTGAATCAGTATAAAAATAGAAAAATAGATTAATTGAATAGAACAGAGGGTCAATAAACAGACCTACACATAAAAACACACTTGATTTATGACAAAATAAATGTTCTGGGGCAATTGGAAAAGTATTTTCTCCCCAGCAAAGTGAGTTGGATCAATGGAATACCCATGGAGGAAAAATTTGTTCCTTACCTCATAGCAATTCCAGGTGAATTATAAATCTAAAAGTGAAAAGTAAAATAATAAACCTCCTACAATATATCAGAGGGAACCATTTCATGACCTTGGATATAGGTCAAGCTGCCCTAATTAAGATATAAAAAGCACCTAACATAAAGAAAAGATTAATACATTGGACAACATTAAAACTAAAAAAGTCTGGTTTAAAGATACTGCTAAAAGAGCAAAAGAAAGTCACAGAATAAAAGAAATAACCAAAAGAGGGTTTATGCCTAGAGTATATTTTAAAAGTAGAAATCAATAATAAAAAAGATAGAATAGAAAAACAGAAGAGACTTTAACAGAAATTCACAAAAGATCCCAATGTCTGCTTAATGCATAAAAGGAACTCAGTCTGATTAATAATCAAGGAAATGTAAATTCAAGCACAATGTGATAATACTACATACTCACAAGAATGGCTAAAATGGAAAAGACCGACAATAGCAGCAATTGGGCAGTATCTACTAGAGATGAATACCTACATATTCTGTGGTCCAGAAATATTACTAAAACATAGGTACAAGAATATTCATAGAAAGCATATTCACAGTTGCCAAAACTGTAAATAATATAAAATTTCAACCATAGTGTGGATAGTAACATGTATATAGGATATATATTGAATTATTTATGCATTCAATCAATGAAATTCTACACAGCAATGAAAACCAACAAACTACTGATGTAGGCAATGAATGAATCTCATTAATGGCAAGTGAGCAAAAAAAGACAAATACAAAAGAATATATAGTATATTATTTAATTTATATACAATTTAAATTGTCTATGATATTTAAAGTCAAAATAGTGGTTACCCTTTATAGATGAGGTTCATGATTGTGAAAGAAGTGAGAAAGAGGTTTCTAGAATGACGGTTACATTTTGTTTCTTGATGTGTGTGATAAATAGATTTTGTGATAATTCATCAAGCTGTGTACTTTTCTCTCTGTATTATACTTTTTTGAAAAAAAATTGAGAGGTAAGTATAAATAGCAATGGAGTAAAAGAAAATAACCCCTTATAATTTATAAAATCCTTTATATTTTTATCACACTTTGTTTTTATTTTATTTTATTTTATTTTAATTTTGAGAGAGATAGAAAGTACGTTTGTGAAAGGCAGTGGAAGAGTAAAGGGAGAGTGAGAGAATCCCAAGAAGGCTCCACACTGGGTGCAGAGCCTTTATGCGGGGCTTGATTTCAAAACCCTGAGATCATGACCTGAGCTGAAATCAAGAGTTGGATGCTTAACCAACTGAGCGACCCAGGTGCTCCTTCTGTCACACTTTGTAATGAACACTTTTGAATTACAGAACTTATAATTCAAAGTACACTAATATTTGTGTTCCCCAATATCATAGACTTAAATGATGGAACACTGAACTTTAGCCAACCATGGCACAATGGCTTAAACAAAACAACCATAGCTGTGAAAATAAAACCAAAATGTTTTGACCAAATAATAACAAACTTTATAAAAATAATTTTATTCAAGTAAATTTGGTTTTGATGGATTGACTTGCCTCAGAAATGGATTGGGTATACCTCAGAAGAGTAATTATTTTAGAAAAGTAAATTCTAATGTAAAATTATTTTGTGTAACAAGAGAACAGTACCTTGGTTTATGAATTTACTATATATCTATATCTTTAACATTACATGAAATAAGTACATTTATACCTAGATTCTAGTAATTTTCTTAACTTACCAGATAAATTAGTGCTGCATATGAAGCACATATTATGCTAGTTAAAGCAGTCTTTGCCGGAAAAGAAATTATTTCAAACAAAGAACCCCTTCTGACCTGCGAAAACAAAAAAGAGTTTTCTAATTACAATAAAAGTTTTCAGTGTTACAACGATAAATTTTAAAATATTACTGTAAAATGAGAATTTAAATATTTCTTTCTAAAGAAAATTATCTGCTGGGTCTATCTTGGTTTTTTTCACATTCTGAAAATATATTGGTTTATTTATTTATTTATTTTTACAAAAAGGTGCTTTCTTTTGCTATGACAGATCTATTAAAACCTATGAAAGATCAATAAAAAACCTTGCATTTCCAAAATCTAAATTACTTTAACTTTTTTACATTTAACAAGTGTGCTCACTAGGGGGTGCCACTGTGCATATTAGAAAAACAGTCTTTTCTTTGTTCAAATTCATGTAATCATCCTTTACTAAATTTTTCACTTCTTCATTAAGCAAACAGCAATCGAAATACAAAGCATTTCCTGCAGATTAATGACCTGATTGGAAATGTTAATCATGAGACTGCTGAAGGCCAGCATTAACCTTAGGTGAACATTAAGCTTCGGGAAATGCTCTGCGCTCACATCCAGCATGCTTCTTTGAAACGGAGGTTTACACCAAAAATGAATTTGTCTCTCAGATGTTTCTAGTTTCTGGTAATAGGTGTCTCTGCCTCAAACAACAATATGTTTAGTTTAGGGGAATCATACTCTCTTCTAGGTCACCTCTGTTGCCTTGAGTAGGATATGAAAGGAGGGCATTGGGAAAAACATTCCCTTCCCATTCAGCAGTGAAGTGGCAGTTAGCCATGCTCCTCTGAAGTATGTGCCAAGACACTCAATGGCTTCAAAAACTCCTGAAGGTACAGGCCGCAGCTAATAAAATCATGTAAATGCACAGTAAAAATGCACACACACTAGAAAGAACAGTATGTATGTGTAAAGTTATTTATGACCCTGAAAAATGGAAACAATTGATAGCAGAATGGTTAGGTAAATTAAGTAATATCCACTCAATGGCGTATCACAGCCTCTTAAAAGGTGCTTCTGAAGAATGCCTCATAACATTTTTTCGAACAAAGGTTTGTATGGCACTGGGTTTTAAGTGCCTGTTGCAGTATATTCAGTTTTTGCTTACTGCTGCCACTGCTGAATGAAGAACAAAGTCGCCCATCACCATTGACCTTCTTTTCTCTTAAGCGATTAATGGAATGCTAAAGCCAAGAATACTATCTAGCCAATCAGCGAAGAGATGGAGTTGTGGGGAGCAGTGCAGGGCGGGGAGGGGTGGAGGGCAGGAGTAGGGCAGGGAGGCATTCCTTCTTATTTCCTGTCTTTCAGGCCCTACTGACTCCTAGATAGGGGAATAGGGATGGGCAGTTTTAGCCCACTCTGTCCATAAGCTGGTCTGGAAAATTTCCCAGAGTTCCTGGCTTCTGGAAAGAGTTTCCAGGAACTAAAGCAGTTGCTGCTCTTTCCCTCTTGCTAGAAGAATCAAACTGATAGCATGCTTTTGCATCTCACTGTTAGGCTACAAGAAGACAAACAGATAAGTAGAGAGCAGATATTAGGAAAGAAAGCAGATATACTCCCAAACAAAATGCCTCCTAGGAGAGTAAAAGATTCATGAGTTTGTGAATATATGGATGTACAGTGGGAAATCCATATCCAATAACTGGTAGGCCATATACAGTAAAAATAAAAGTGGCGTCTGCATGCATGAGAAATTACTCTGTTTCTATTTCACTGCATCTTTTTTTTCGCATTTTGCCCTTCACCTGAGGTAATTAAAACTGATTATTTTTCAAAGTTTCAAAATAAATTATATATCTGATATATGTTACACTTCTGAATGATGAATCTGATATTGCCTAAGGTCACTTTTTCACCATTTCAATGCTTTCAATAAATACTTGCTATTCCTGTAACAAATCATTCCTATAGAAAATGCATTTCCTCCAAAATTTATGTGGCTCCTGGCAAGTAGCCAATTTTCAATTTCATGACCTACTTCCAATACATGTTTTTCATATTATAAACCACACTGTTTCATTTTGGGCTTGCTATAAGCAGGAATAGTATATCATAAAACAAAAAACAAAAAAAAATATGATAAAATATGATAAAAAAAACAACCTGAGTGTTGCCAGGGGGAGGGGGATAGGGAGAGGTGGTGGGGTTATGGACATTGGGGAGGGTATGTGCTATGGTGAATGCTGTGAAGTGTGTAAGCCTGACGATTCACAGACCTGTACCTGGGGCTAATAATACTTTATATGTTTATAAAAAAATAAATAAATAATAAATAAATAGGAGAGATTTGTAAATCAAAAGTTGTATTTAGATCATCTCAACCAATTACAAAAATTTATCTAAACTTATATTAATTTTTTTGAATATTTAAGTTAAAAGAATCTTGATATCAATATTATGCCCATATATTCCTTTCTTGAATTTTTAATATTAATATATATGTATATATAAGATATGTGGATGTGTTATATGCTCATAGTAACATCTCAGCTATATGGGTATTTCAACAGTAAAAGCATTTCAATCTTTAACAAAATTTCTTTGACATAATTTTGAGTTCCATCTCTGTCATATAACTTTGACTGCCTCATAAAAGAAGTATCTCATAAAAGAAGTATCTGTGTTTATCTTATTTTCATTAAAATTGAGATAAATCACAAAAAAAGCAAACCATAAGCAGTTTAGAAAATAAAAAAGATCCACTTATAGATGACTTAAAGGTTAAAGGATCACCAGGCCCAACTTAGTTTATGTTGTTCAAAGGATACTAGGGGAAGTAATAGAGAAACTTTAACTCAGTGATTCACAAGTAAGTGTTGCAAGGAGCAATGACTGGTTAATAGGCCCAGAAGAAAGTATTTCCTGTAGGTTTGGAAAAGTTACATGACTCTGTCTTTGCTTGAACCACTCACAGTACTCAAGAACCCAGGAAGGACTCCTAGCAGTCCACAGTAAAGAAAATTAATTGACTTCATATAGGCAGAGATGCCTATTACTATCCTGTGGAACACTGTTCTTGAATAAGCTCTTACTCACAAGGTCCTATAAAAGTTCAAATGGCCCAATCTCTTGGCCAACCTTGAGAAGTTATGTCATCAAGATTCCAAGGATTCTACTTTCTAGGAATTGTCCTTTTTCCCCAGCTCTTGAATTATACCACCCAAGATAACCTCATGGCAGGCCCATCCAGGACCTGTAGAAGCTCTTGATGTTTTTGAGGTTTACATATATTTTTTACACAAAATATGTGAAGTTTGAGTTTAAACCCCAGTCTACATTGAAGTGTTGGGGGTAAGGAAGAAATTATACTTGGAAAAATACCTGATCTTCTTCCTGAAAAAGGGAGCACAAGTGCACTGGGATCCACATAAATCATAGGCACTGTAGATAGTGAGGGTTTTCTTCACTTTTGCCCGTATCTGGCCTACACCACTTCACAGTGCCTGTACCAAGGATAAATAGTCATCTCCCATGCCATTATAAGGAGGATTGTGACATATATAAGGAAGATTCTATCATAGCAAGAGCTCCTGTGGCCCTGCATTGCCCTGCCAAAGTCAACAACTATGTCTGGGAGCTGGCGTGTCTTGGCTGAAGTCAGCATTCAAGCTGATTATCTAGGTCACTGCAGCCTAGAGCAGCTGTAAGCTTTACTCATCCAGACAGCTCATAAGGCTAAGCAGATGCACCATTCTGTAAGTACTGATGCTGGGGTTGTTGAAAACCGCTGAGAAATGATCTAACCAGAGTTTTCCATTCCTGAGGCCCTTTTAGAAATAGCAGATAACTTGCTATAATCTCAGCGCTGCATAAACTGGAAGGGTTTGAGAAACAACCCGACTCAGCACCCGTGAAGACAGGTGCAATGGAAGTCTCTTTTATCAAGCTGGAGAAGACCGACTCCAACTATGCTCATGTTACAACAAGCCTTCGGATCTCTTCAGGTCGCTTGTATCAGTTGGGTCTTTGGATAATTCATATTGGGCTCAATATCTTTGAATATGCTAACATAAATAGGACTTGCTCTAGGGCTGAGTATATAATCAGAAAGGCCTGGTCATACTGTCAAGGAGCTCCTGTAACAACATTCATATTCTAATTATCTTGAGGAGACTATTACTGTATGCTTCATCTCAGACCACTTTAGAGGGCTGACATACTATCCTAGTCATAGGTAGTGTCCTAATGAAAATGCTCCTCTATTACCTGCTCCTGAATGAGTAAACTGCCTGACTGGCATCCCCAGCTACATAATATCCAACAGAGTTTTGGTAGAACCATTTAAGGTGCTCTATGTACAAAAGTATCTTCCTATCATTAATTATTCTCAGATCAGTGACAAGTCAGACATATGAAGATCAGGATCTTTAACACCTCCCAATAGGTTAAATAGGCTGCTTACCTTCCTACATAAAGTGATGTCCTCCATGCATCTACAAAGCATATCCCCTTGCATTGGCAATTTCAGATTTCACTTTTTTTTTTTTTTTTTAAACTTCTGCACACCAGAAAGCTCCACTTTGACAAAGGCAGCCTGACAATCCTTGAAGGAATTCATGCTGGAATCCACTCTGGGTGAGCGAAACTCTGTCACTATGGGAAGACAGCCAAGCACTGTATGTACCAGGGCTGGTGTAGCTCCCTCAGGCTATGCCACTTATCCTCTGCTACACTGGTACTCAGGAAAATTCCATTCACAGACCAATCCATTGACCTCTGCCACATCTCTTAATTACTCTGTTGTTCTTTGACTCTCCAGGCCATTATCTTCACTATAATGTAATTCCTCTTAGTAGCGATTCTGATTCTCCACCCTAGGTAATACATATCATCTGAGTAAAGCTTATTTCTCATTCCTAACCCTCAAGGACCCTGCGATCTCTGATCTGAGACTGTTCCCACTTGTCTCACTCTAGCCATATGGAACTGCTTACATTTCCTAAATAAGTTATGTTCTCTCTGACCTCAATATCTTAATTACAATGTTCACTTCCAGGAATAATTCTCCTACTTCTTTACCTGGCTAATATCTCCTCTCTCAAGATTCAGTATTATCTTTTAGAAAGCCAACACTGACTATTCTGTGGAATTCTATGCCCCTTGTTGATGCTTCCATAGTACACTTTGCACACACTGATCATGAACTTGCTATACTCCACTAACACTGCCTATTTGCCTATCATCCACACAGTCCATTCAGGGCAAGAGTGAGACATCTATGAATCCTAGTATTCAACCTAGTGATTTTACATGTCAATGTTCAATAAATATATGTTGAATAAATGAAAAGGTAGAATAATACTTCACTTACTTCCAGAAATAAATGTAACCATCTTATATTAAAATTTGTAAAAGATACCAGAGAAGGACGTCTGGTTCCAGTAGTAGGGCAGACTGAGCTAATGTGGAACCCTCTAAAAATTCCATATAAATACCCCTAGAAATTCCATAAAAAATCAAACTCCAAAGTCTAATAAAAGACTGAGTTTACAAAAAAGAAAAAAAGAGGGAGGGAGAGAGGGAGGAAGGAGGAAGGAATGAAGGAAGGAAAGAAGGAAGGAAATTTCTCTGTGCCAGGAACTAAAGGGAAGAACATAAGTGTGTGAGTATATGTCCCAGGAAGTATAAAAAAGAGATAAGTAAAAAGAAAATATGAGGAAGGTAAATAGACATAAAGAATAAAATGAAAAGGTCCAAAGTATGTTTCACAGATACTCCCAGAAATAGCGATTAGAGTAAATGAGAAAGAGGTAATATTTGAACAAACAATGGCTAAGAACATTCCAGAACTAAAGAAATTCTCCTCAGATTCAAGAATCACTATGATTCTTGAATTTTGAAAGTGAAAAACATTTCGACAACAGCTAATAAAATTGAAGATATGCAACTCTCATGACTCAGTAATCCTCTTTTAGACATATACGTACACCTGGAGAATGTCTCTCACTCACAGAATAAGGAGGCAATTACAAGAGTGTTCAAAGAAATACAGTTTGGAAAACAAAAAAATGGGAAACTAAATTAGCCATCTGTCCAGTAATAAACTGTGGATTATTTTTTCTTACAATGGGATACCATAAAGAAGATAAAATAATAAACCATAGCTACACATTTTAAAATGTTGAGTAAAAAAAGAAAGTTTCAGAAGGAAGCGTACAGTATATCATTATATATAAATTTTAAATATATGGAGAATAATAGATGTATATAAATGTAGTGAAACTGTAAAAGTATGCACACAAATGCTCACATCAACCTCAGAATAATGATTACATTTGGTAGAGAAAAAAAAACAGGGAATGGTTCAGGACATGGTTAATTATATTTCTTTTTATAAAGGAGATATCCAAAGTTTATACTGCAAAATATTACTACCAGTTTACATTTGGATGGGATTTCTGATAAACTACCTTTCATGTATTTTGAAATATTTTATTGGTAAGAATTTTAAAAATTAAAGCTGCGTTCTAAGACAATTAGAATAAGAGCCCAGGAGAAGAAATTTCGTGGGTGTTGATTTTGAACTGATGTCATAGAGACAGTCACAGTCAGCACAAGGACCTTGGCTAGGTCAAGTACTCCCTCCGTCTGCTTCTTTCACATCAGGTTCCTGGAAAACATCATCACAATTAAGCTCTAAATTTACCTGTGAAACAGGGCAAAAAGGCAAATGTGTTTTGTTTTGTTTTGTTTCAGTTCTCCTTATTGGATAAAAGGAAAGATCAATTCAACTGGAAAAACAGATTATTTTCCTGCCACTGAATTTTCATGAGTACTGGGAAGCCTTTCTCTGTGGATGTCTCTCATTCCTGTACCAACTGGGCCTTCTGAACAAAGGACATGGTTGAATAACTAACAGCTTTAGAAGCTAGAGAAAGCATATTTATCCAGGGAGATCTAGAGATGTACTTCCCAAGACATGTTTTAGGGCACTAAAGATAAAACCTTCTCTGTAAACCCTCTAGAAACATTTACTTCTCTCCCCCAAACCCTTCTTACTTTTTCTCCCTTTATTTCTCTGTCCCTCTCTCTCAGGCTGGGCCAGTAGGCCAGCACTCCTAAAAAAGCTGTCTGCTAATTTCAGGCTCCTCTCCTGTGATGCAACTTACTACATGCATAGGTAACACGTGGTTCTCACTGCATTGCCCTGTGGGAACTGAGGGGTTAGGGAAATGACACAAAATATTGCTCTGGCTGCTGCTTTTGAAGTTAATAATAAACAGTCTCAGTCTCTGATTCAAGGGAGTCTTGTGTCTTCTATCGGCGTGTGTGTTTGTACAGCTGTGGCAGGCTAACTTGTTAGCTCGTAAATAGTGTAAAACCTTAGATTCTTCAGTTCTGACTTAGCAAAAGAGAAGCAAAAAGAAAGCCTGTATAATATAATGGACAGCGTCTTTAAATATGATTTCGTAATACATACAGAAATATTCTTCAAAGGACATTTCTTATATCAACCCTGTATAAAAAATAAGGGTTAACAATGCAAGGGAAAAAACATCAAGGTGAAAGGTTCATTTTAGAAATGTATTTCAGTCAAAATTATACATCTCAGCTGTATTTCTTTTTGACAAACTAAAGATACAGGAATAATGTTTATACTGCTTAGAGAATCCAGCAGGTAATAAACACAAAACATTTTTTACTTTCTCAAACATCAGGTATTATAATGGAGACTTTTATAATTGCTTTCTCAGGCAATTCATAGCTGGACCTATCCCATGATTTCTGGAAATGTTAAAATCTTTGATGAAAGAGAGATTCCTATGTAATGGATATTTTGTTTATTTTAGCCATCCATCATCCATTTTCTCATCTTTTCAAAATAACCCAAATTTTGTTTGAGGATTCATCCTCTCCCCATTCTCTGGTCATGTGGTCTGGATGGCAATCAGGTCCTAGGTCAAACAGCACATCCCATTCCCCTGCTTTAGAGGTACGCCTTTCTCTGAGAACCCCAGGACTTGGCCAGGAATGCTGGCTCAAGGACTGTCATTCTTTGGGGCTGTATTGAACCTGGAAGGATGGAGTCCTGGGAACAGCTGCAAATCATCTTGTAACCATGAAGGGAAGGTCAGTCTGTGGATGGCGTCAATACAGAGGAAGCAGAGCGAGGATGGGTGGAAAGAGAACAACAGGACCCTGAAGGCATCTTTTGAGTACCTATACCCTGAAACCTTATCAACTCTGAATTGTTCAACTACATGAACTAATACATATTTTTGGCTTCACTCCCTTTGAGCCAGGGTTCTTCTCCCTTCAACAACAAAACGATTCACTCTCGGGTTTAGGGGCCAGGCTTGCAGGATTCCCAATCGTTTGTAACAAACATTTAGAATGCTTTGAATAATGCTCAAGTGGAAAAATCCAGAGTTCTATGCCACAAAGTTTAGAAAAAAAGAAACTGGTCCTGAAAAAGTTTTAAGAGCTGTTGCCCTTAACAAAATATAACAGAGCCTCAATAAAACAATGTAGAACCTGTAATTTGAAATACACTGGATGTTGGTGGATCTACCAAAATAAGTTTATGGTTGAATATATTCAAATATGTTAAGTCGAATAAAGATTGTCTTGGAAACACAGCAAAGTTATGTGGGGAAAGAACGAAACAATCATTTTTAAGGCTTACGGGATTTCTTTTAGGTTTGACATAAGTGGTAATCTGTATGCTGATATTTAGGTTGAATCATTTGAAATTTAGTTTCATAAAGCTCAATCAAATAACCAAGTAGGGAAAAAAAGCCCACATTACCACCTCTTTCAGATTTATTTAAATCAGAATATATATACTATATTGAAAAAAGACCAAACCATTCATTTTTTATCCAACTATTCTTCTTTCATATCTAAGATAACCAAATGAGCTACATTTTCAAATCTTGCAATTTCAAAACAGTTTCTTAAAAAAGAGGCTGTATCTTGTGCAAATGTTAATATGAGCTCACCTGCACGTTATAGAGGGGTTGTTTTGGTGCATTAACTTCCCTCAGCAAACGATGCGATATGTTCCTTAACTCTAGAAGTCTACAAGCAAGCTGGGGATGCAGAAGTTTGGCCACTGATTTGGAGGATCTGGATATGGTGTTTAATCCTTGAATCAGTGTTCCTCGGTTGATCCTTGCTAAGGCGACAGCCATTCTGATTTTGGACGTTTTCTGCATGGGTTCTCTTTTCTGGAAAATAAGCCTCTAAAAAGTGACTGATGTGTGATTCTCGCATGAATTATTACAACCTACTCCAGACTGAGACCAAGTATGACCTAACAGCACATTATGCATGGGCCTATGCACACACAGTGTCCAGTAATTATATCCCACCCCCCATGTACCTAAATCTTTGAATAAATGTATGATTTTTGCCTCAGCATAAATATCCAGAATTTAAGTTACTAGCCAAAAGACTTAAAATTTTCATTTTTCTCTGTGGGTTTATTTTTGCATTGATTTTTTTTTTTTTTAAAGAGTGCTTTCAAAAGTAAGCAGTTCTTATTCAAATATTACTCAATGTTTGAATTATTCAAACATTAAATATCCTTATTCAAAACTGTTACAAATATTTCCTGTTTATTTTAAAAATGTAAATGATTAAAGCATTCATACATAATGCATGGTACAATTTAAAAAAAAAATAAAACAAATCCCCTATATACTAATTAACAAGCTTAAGGAACTTTCATTTCTAAAAACTTCAAAACTTGTGAGCATTCTGACAGAAAAAATTTGTGGCATTAGCAAAACATATGACATGTAGATCCTTCCTTGCTGTACCAGAAAATGAACCGCAGAGAAATTACTTACAATGTGGTCAGACTGCATTCCAGGCAACAGCAAGGATAGCTGCCATTATTCATTTAAGCAATTTTATGGGCTATTCTGGCTTTTTCATATATGACTTGGAGGGGGGACTAATGGTTTATAACACAAATAAGCAACTTCGAGTCTCTATTTATTGAATCCAAATATATGTATAAGTACAAAACATCTTTTAGATGGATTGTTTTGGCCTACAATGAGCAACATATAGTTGCATTAAGAGCTAATGTACTGTGTATGTCCTTTAAATGCCTCAGCCATTATCCTGAAGATATAATTTTATGATCGCTGTTTTTGTCATTAAAGTTCAGTGCTTCTCTTACCGTTTTAGCCTTTGTGACTGGAGATCACCCGAAATTGTACTAGTCTGTCAATGAGGATGTACATCTGCAGCGCCTGGTGTCACATTATGATTTCATCTGTTAACGTGACTGAAAAAGTCCCATTATCCCACCTTTGGTCTCAGCCCTCCTAGTCAATACGAACAGGAGAAGGCCATTGGAGCTGTGGGCTGCTAGAATTGTGGCAATTCCAAGCCAATTTAGAGCAGAGCAACCCCTAAAAGCAGTTATGTGGTACGTAAAACAAGCAAAATAAGACACGGGTGCAATCACTTGATACTGTATCTTGGTTTCCAGCACACTGGTGAGAGAAACCACAATGATCTGCACTATCCAGAGCTCCTACACACAGATTCAATTTCTCTTGTGATCTTATGCTTTGCTTCACCGATTTGACCTCCCAACTCCTCCTGAAATTGGAGCAGCTAGAATGTTTGGTTTTACTTCTGATTTAGCTTACTGTGTTTTCTCTCATAATTTACAGTCAAAAGGTGAGGGCCCTATTGCCAAGGCGAACAAGAGTGGAATGTGGGCAGTTCCACCATGCTGAAATTTTGTCTACACAGTTATTCAGTGTTTTAAGGATTCTTCATTTTTGCAGATGAAGCACTAACTTTATGAAATTTCCCTCTCATTGTTTTGTGTCTTTACAAAATCTTGGTGATCCGTACTTGTTGGCCTGGATTCACTGACTTTACTCAGGTATTTCTGTTAGCTAATCTTGATTCATTTCCCCAAACACTATACTAGATTGATCCACTCAACCTTCCCCTCTTTTACAAGATTGTCTTTCTAAATATTTACCTGAGTAGAGAAATAAGCCTATTTGTATTTGATAATCCATGAATCAAAATCTTCCTGTAGGATCATATAACTTGTGTTGTCAAAAATATAGCATTTATGATAAACAATATTTTTAAAAATTCAGGTGTGCATTACAATAATACTTCAGTGCACTTTGTGTTGTATTTCTCATTTTAGAATTGTCATAAATTCATAGCTTTTTCCAACAGACTCAACTTGTTCCTAGTTAACATCATCTTTGTTTCCTTTTAATGCTGAAATCATTACACTTTGATGACTGTGCTTCCCTTTATGTTTTTTTTTTTTTTTAAGATTTTACTTATTTATTTGACAGAAGAGAGAGATAGCACAAGCAGGGGAAGCGGCAGGCAGAGAGAGTGGGAGAAGCAGACTCCTGCTGAGCAGGAAGCCCACTGTGGAACTCTATCCCACGACTCTGGGCTCATGACCTGAGCCAAAGGCAAACGCTTAACCGACTGAGCCATTCAGGTACCTCTACCTTCATGGTGTTTAATGCCTCCTTCAATACTTTCATAGATATCTCTGAATCTCTGAAAGAAATATTTCCTCTAGCAACAAAATATTTCTGACCATCTTTATTTTCCTAACATAAAACATATAATCAACTTGTTCCCTAGAAGACCATTACTGCTTTTCAGAACAGTATTAGAAACCAAATCTAGACCCTGAGGTGCATGTAAAGTAGTTTTTTGCGGGGGGTAGGGAGGGGGGCTCTGAGACTAGAAAGGAAACAACAGAGGAGAAGCTACATACAGTCCTGGAGATGCAGAATGAGATTTTCCTCTTAAAAAAAAAAAAATAGTCACCAGTTTATAGTGATGATTCTAATTCACTCTTGCCTTCAGTGAATTTTTGAAATAGGCTCTGGTAGAAAATTTGTTAAATAAAAGGGTTCCCCCCCCTTTTTTGAGCTATCAGCTTTTCCCTTTGTCTACTATGTATGTTATAAATTTTTCTACCAAGCCATGAGTCTAAATTTAAATGCTGACCCCAAAAGAAGAAGTACCCATTTCTTTTCCCTGGTTTATCTTGTTTTGACTCTTGTCCTAAGCATACTGGAATTGGCTGCAAAATGTGCAAGTTTACATGATTCTTCTTGTCATCATTATCACCTGAGTATGTTACCGAATGTGAGAAAAGAAATTCCACTCCCCTCCCACCTGCCACCTCCATCTCAGAGACACACAAAGGCAATGATGATTTACTACAAGAAACCCAGTATCAATTAATCAGATTGTTTCAAGAATCCTGCTCCAAATTTCACTATTTGAGCCCCATTCTTCGAATATATCCTGCTTTCCTATTTTCTTTTTTTTTTAGAGACATACCCATCTCTCTATCATCAGCAGTTTTAATGCTGAACTCCAATTTCTATTACATCAGCTTTTTACTACTCTACATCCAAAAAACCAGCCTGTCAGCAAATCTTATTCAATTCTTTCTCTGAACAGTCCTAGAATTTGACCACTACTCACTACCCCCAATGCCAACACTCAGTCCACTGCATTTATATACCATCTCTTTTCCAGACTAGTAAATTAGCCTCCTCAAGGGTCTTTCTGCTTCTGTCCTCACCCACGTTCATTCTATTCCTCAATGCCTCCGCAAAAGAGATACAAATAAAACTTAGATCCTATCCTGCTTTTCTGCTCTGCTGCTCTAGTGGTTTCCTACTGCACTCAGTGTAAAAGCCAAATTACAAACAGTGGTCTGCAAAGCCCTACAAGAGTTGTCTTTTCTTTACCTCCCTAACCTCATTATCTTTTTCTCTCCTTTTCCTCCTCACTATTTGTTGAGCTTGTTAAATATACTCTCACCTCAGGGATTTAGCTCCCACCAATATTTTGTTTGCTTCTGGACAACAAGATGGCCTTTTCCTAAATAAATAAATGCCTACAACTTCTTTAAAAAGTTTTAAATACTAATTATGAAATTTAGAGATTTAAAATCCAATCCATTAATTAAAATCCTCTAACTATTCTTAAAACCACTCCTTTCAGTATGTTTGGGAATTATGGATCATCTCCAAAATAATCAGATTTGTAGCATTTACAATCCAACCTTTTAAAAATAATTTAGTTATTGGAGTATTAGCATTGTTTTCTGAATGATTTATTTTTGAAGTACAAGTAACTTCACTCTGTTACAATACCCCCTAAGAACTTGGATTTCTTGCCAATGTCAGCAAAGTAAACAGTGGAAAAAGAACAATGTGAGTGTGTTGAAAATGAGAAATAAAGTAACTATGTTTATATTATTCTCTGAATGAGGTAAAGTTCTTGTAAGTAAATAACTTCAATGAGTTGGAAAGAGGAACTCAGAGTTCTTTCTTTGGGATCAGAGTATCAACCCATTTCACTATTAAACCAAATTTACAGCTCTCATGATAATGAGGCTATTCAGGGGGTAGGAAGAGATTAAGAGAATTACAAAGAAAGTTGCAACTTCTTAGATTATTAAACCCAGTTCCTTTAATGTTGCCAATGGTGAAAGAATCACAATCTTGAAGGGGAAACAGGGCTTTCCAGACTTAGCCATTTACATCCTAGACCAAGCACGGTCACCGGCCCATTCCTTCTCTAACACTCCAGTGCGTACTCAAGAAAAATCTCCAACAGTTAAAAAGACTTTATACTAAAACTGGGGGAATGAAATAGGGGGAAGCAATTAGACACTGAGTCTAAGATACAGATTTATAAAATCTGGTTTGAGGGGCGCCTGGGTGGCTCAGTGGGTTAAGCCGCTGCCTTCGGCTCAGGTCATGATCTCAGAGTCCTGGGATCGAGCCCCGCATCGGGCTCTCTGCTCAGCAGGGAGCCTGCTTCCTCCTCTCTCTGCCTGCCTCTCTGCCTGCTTGTGATCTCTCTGTCAAATAAATAAATAAAATCTTTAAAAAAAAATAAAATAAAATAAATAAAATCTGGTTTGAGGTCTGGAGCTTTTAAGCCTCATTCTATCCTACTTAGTGGACCACCATTGGGATGCCATCTTACCACTAGGTATCCAGATATCTACACTTCAGTATCAGCCTTCCCCTAAGTCTAGACTCAAGGCTCATGCCATTCATTCATATTTACATGATATTCTGGGAACACGCTACACTGTTTCACACTTTTTGTCCTGACACTTCTTCCTCTGCTCCTGTCCACTTATCCTATCTCTTTTTTTACTTAGAAAATCATATTCATTCTCTGAAACCCAATTTAAGCAACCTTCCTCCAAAAAGCCTTCTCTGACCATCCTAGCTAGAGCAATTCATTCCTCTAAGTTGGATTTACCTCTTACCATATTCTAAAACAATTACTTGTTTACAGTTCTGTCTTGATTACATTAAGCTAATTGGCTGAAAGCATCCTGTCTTTTCTCTCTATTCCCTCTCCCCAGTCCCAAACAATAGCAAAGTATTTCGTAAATGTTTGATGCCTGGTTGTCTGGATGAATGGTTAAAAGTGGCTCTAATATTTCTCCTTTGGAATGAAATATATAGACTTTGTGATTACTGTGTTACTCAGAGAGCTTTTTTGTTTACTTCCAGGTTTTGGCTATGTTCCTCATGTTTGACATTGCCAAAACTCTGATATCTGGATGAGGAAATTATTACTTACTGTACCATGTAACTTTACAACATATTCTATTCCAACTGTGGTCTAGATGATTAAATATACTTTTCCATTAAGAGCTGTGTACTTTAAATTAGGTTACAAGATATTACTTTTTCCTGATCAAATGTCTCAGAATTCTTTACCTATTCCCTCTTTCATTCCCAATATTTTATCTGCCTCAAATTCTTTTGGGAACAAACATTATATAAAACATATGCACATATGCTTTGTTTAATCTGATATCATTATTTTCTTCCACATTAAAACATACACTCATACCAATTTTATCTTTCCATTATTATAATTTATGTCAGTTATTTTTTTCCAGTGATTTAATTGCCATAGATTTTAGTTAAAATATATCTAGGTGTTTTCCTGATTTTTATATTAAGCAAATCTTTTTTTTTTTTTTAAATATTAAGCAAATCTTAAGCAAATGTAGCAAACCACATACATTACAATTGTGGCTATGAGAGAGCTCCACATTTCCAATCTAACAGCACGGTGATTTTCTTTAAACTGAATTTATCTACCTCATTTCTTTGTCCATCTCTCTGCTTTTCAGAGACCCACCCAGTAAGATTTGAAATTGTTCTTCTGAGGCAAAATTAATTTCTTCCTAAGCCTCAGGCACTGATCTCAAAGTCAAGCATTAAATAATGGATATTAAAAATACAATGTACTTTTTATAATCCTTTTCAAAGTTATGAAATCGCATTACCTGATTAGACTGTGATAATCTTAGGATGGTAGGGAATTCATCTTTAAACTCATCCATAAGGTCCATGATGACTTTCTGGATCCCCTCCACTGAAACAAAGAGAAATTAGGGGGACAAAAGAGCTTAGCAAAAATCATCACCTAACCATAATTCAAAAGAACCTGGGACGCTGGGTCCACTTTGTAAGTGCCTGGGAAAGCAAGTAAACCCTAGGCGACGTTATTCCCCATTGTATCCCACACCCATATCCCCTTTACAACAAGATTACATATACTTCTTCCAGAAAAGTTCTTCAACACCTGCCCACATATCCACCCAACAGGTTTGATTGGCATGACAAATTCTTGCTTGGGTTCCTAGTGCTTGGAAAGTTTGCAGGCCAGGGCAACACTTGTCCTACTCTGCCATTAGTGAGGGATGAAGGTACCCTTCCACCCAGGAAAGCAGGCAAGGACAGAACCTACAGCTCATTGACAGAATTCTTTGTTACTGCACAATGGGACTCTGAGAGCTTGTTACAGAATCTTCTGAAATCACTCTGGCAGTGAGAAGAGGAAGAAATGTGTTTGAAGGCATAAGGGGAGGAGAAAGGAGAATGAAAAATAAACTATACTAAGGAGTTCTGCATTATGTGGAATTTTGCCCCAACTTCTACAATGATACCTCAATTAATGGATCACCTGAGAACAAAGCTCCCTTTGAAAAGAGTTGGCATATGGTTTAAAAGAAATGCTTCACATATGATGCCAAAGGGAAAAGAAAACCAGCAGTTATTTCAGTTCTGAACAGACTGTTTTCCTTCACTCAAATAAAGATCACTAGGTCAACCACAGGCAAAATTATAAAATCTAAAATCCTCTTCCTCCTCCTCCTTCCTCTTCTACCTCTTCCTCATCTTCTCCCCTCCTAGTATTATCCTACTTCATTCTTTTCCATTTATCAAATATAGGAAGAACTTCATATCATGTGGATTTGATTGAATACCTAGTTAATATTTTAGTGTGGATGAATTCAGAGTTGATTAACACAAATCCCATTTTAATTTGAAGACTTTACATCTGATTGTAGCTAGACCACTGTCTTTAGCAAGCATAAGCTGTGGGTGCTAGAGGTTTGTTCATTGGAGCTGTCTTGGAAAGAGAACAATGTCCGTTAGAAAACTTCTCTATCATGTGAAGCCCGCCAGATCCCCACCTTCAGTTTGCCTTTAGTCCTAATTTGTCTGAGAACACTCTTCACCATACCACAAACACTTCACTTAACCTTAGAAGAACATGCTTCCCTCCATCATGACCCTAATGTTTAAGATAATTATACTCTTAATGTGTCAAAACTGCAATCCACTGCCAGAAAGAAAATCTTATTAGACAATGATGAAAGTCTGTAAGAAATGTAACCCTTTATTTGTCCTATTACGATATGTGCCTATCAGAATTTACCCCAGAGGAAGAGTTGGCTGTCCCTTCTCTCATTGGTCTTCTTCCTGTTCTCCACTCTCACTGACACCCCTATGTTCTTTTCACCCAACTACCCATCTCCTGATGTCTATCCTAGTTCCCAATTGGTTTCAGCCAGGTTTTTTTTCTCTTTTTATTAGCTCTCACCCACCTTCATTTGTTAATGAAATTAACAATCTAAAATCTAAAAGAAAAAAACAGGTTCTCATGCTAATATTGTCCACACCTAGAGCATAACCAGACTCTATGTCATGTTAACAAAGTTCTTTTTGTCTTTGCTTTCTCAATGACTCTCCTTGAGAGACGAATGATGAAGAAAAGACAGAGGGTCATGAGATTTCAAAAAATCCCACCCTGCCACACTTATTTTATATTTGTGACCGTATCTGATCATATTACAGGTTTGACTTAATTTAATTATACCCATATCCTTATGTATCTTATGTTATTTCAGGTAATAAAGTTAGACAAAATAAATAATGTTAATGGTTATCTTCTTTAGCTATAATGTTATTCTTTATAGCTCATAACACAGGGCTCCATACTTACAAAAATTAACTGGAAAAGGTTACAAATACCTCCAAATTTTATAACAGCCCTTCAAATTTATTTGTATTTAAAAGGCTTTAATACAGAAAGAAGAGAATCTCTGATTTGCACAAAGCTTGGAAGAAAATGAAGATTTTACACACTGTAAGCGAAAGCAATAGAAGCTTAAATTAGAAAATAAAGAGTTTTGGGACTCAGACTCCAATTTGAATTCCAACTCTATCACTTACCTACCTACTAGGCTGTGTAATCTTGGGCAAATTTCTTAACCTAAATTTTACTTTTCAAAAAGTGACAGGATTTAACAGACCAGATATGTTTGATAAATGTCAGCCATTGGTAAACATACAACAGCTACTTTGCTTTTAAAAGATTTTATTTATTTATTTGAAACAGAATGAGAGCTAGAGAGAGAGAGAGAGAGAGAGTGAGCAGGGTGGGGGAAAAGGGAGAAGGAAAAGCAGGCTCTCCACTGAGCAGGGAGCCTGACCCGGGGTTCCATCCCAGGACCCTGAGATCATAACAAGAGCTGAAGGCAGACTCCTAACCGACTGAGCCATTCTGGTGCCCCTACCTACAACAGCTACTTTGCTTTGAGAAAGTTTGCAAAATTTGGGTGAAAAGTCAATACTGAGTTTTCCCTGTTCACATGGGTTTCAGCCTGTTTTGATTTTGCACACAACTGGCTAGAATCCTGATAACATCCTAACTAGATCCTTCCCTCAAACCTACTTCAAATGCAAATGATATGGACCTATACTTCCGATTTCAAGTATTATGTCAAGTCTCAAGAACAACTTCTTTAAGATTCATCCTTGGCCCAGTCAAGGATTTGGACTGGAAGCCACCTCCTTTGGGTGCCAACTCTCAAGTGGATTAGTTCTGTTGGTTCCAGTGCTAAGTTCCTCCAGCTTACAGCATGCTCTGAGACTATGTACATCTCAGTTGGTGGTAAATGCTTAATAATGTCAAAATAATTTTTTAAGATTGATTTATTTGAGAGAGAGCACGTGTGAGCAGGGAGATAGAGAGAGAGAGAGAGAGAGAGAGAGAATCTATATGTAGACTTCCCACTGAGCATGACTGGGACAAGATCCCAGCACCCTGAGATCATGACCTGAGCCGAAACAGTTTCGACCGAGCCACCCAGGTGCCCCTCAAAGTAATTTTAAAAATCGTTATCTGAAGGAAGGGTACTGGCACTTACTGAAGGCCAAATATGTACTAGTTAACTGTTGTTAAAGGATAAACTGAGGGACATTAAAACTTTTAAGAGTTTATTTGAACAAAAATTTATTTGCATCTGGCATCACCAAACCAGAAGTGATTAGAAGCACTCCACAGACTGTAGCTAGGGGCAAGGCTTTTATACGGAAGACATGGAAACAAAGCAAGAAAATTATTTGATTGGGTATAGCTCAAGGGGTTGCATTCTTTAGGAAAGCCTAGTTGACTATTTGTGACGGGTTGTCCTTAGGTATAGACCACATAATCTTGAGGCATTTACAGGATTAGGTTTTGGTTTGCTTCTGTAGGCTGCTAAAGCATTGGAGCCACCTCAGTCTAATGGCCTCCTTACTTAATTAATTTAACACTGTGCTATGAGCTAGGTTACCCCACTTATCTCTTAATTCTCGTAGTAACTAACGCTCAGAGGTAGGAATGTTTTGAAAGCAGTCTGAAAATATCAAACAATACCAATACATTATTATTACCCATACCAACCATCATCCTGGGAATATATCCCAATTTGAAAAATCCTCAATTATATATATATATATATATATATATATATATATATATATATGGTTTTTTATCAGTCTGCTGCATCAGTTGTCCAACATCTGAGGACCTGTCTGAGACTTTAACAGTCTTGTATATACAAGACTGCAGAATCCTTCTGGAGAGAACCCAGATTTAATTACATTGGCCAGCTCTGACAAAGCCAGTCAAGTAATAATGCCTTAATTATCTTGGGAGAAGAGTGATTTTGAGCATAGGGTGGTGTATGTCACTCAGATCTATCCTTAGTATCACATTCATTAGGGATTCAGAATAGATGGAATTCTATTCTGAAAAGAGACACCTTAAACAGTCTTACTAAGCTTTCCTAAGGCAGTACTCACAAATTAGCTGTACAGTTAGGGTACTGCTCCCACAGGAAAAAAAAAAAAAAAAAAAAAAAAAAGGAAGGGAAGGAGGCATTTTCAGGATGACTTTGCCAAAGATCTTTGGCTCTTTGTGTCTTTGCATTAGCAGTGGTCCTTATTGTGAGGATGCAGTGTCCAGAACAAAGCCAAAACAGAAGCAGTGCCCAAGGGAGACATAGTGATATCCACAGAAGTGGTTACAAGTGCCAAGCAGAGGCTACCTGCAAGGCAGCTGACCAGATTTATTCTTAATAATTAGATGCTCTTTGGGAATTCCCAAATTCTTGGAAGGAAGGGAGCAGATTCAAGCCTTTGGAGAGATTTGAAGCTCTGCAGGTGGAGCAAAGCCAGCGAAGTACAGGTTACTATTATTCTTGTGATCCCTCTTGTAATCATAAATTGACCAAGCTTGGGAAATCCTGGGTCACAAGAGAAAGTGTATAGACTTTCTCATTATAGTAAGAATTTGAGGCAGCTTGTGTGTAAACAGGATGTTTTTAACTTTAATCATTTGAAATGTGCTAGAGGAACTTTTTCTTTAAAAGTAACTCTAGATAAAATTCATCTGTAGGGTAAATTATCATGTTTTTAATGCCAAAAACAAATACCTGCTATATGTCTTGCAAACACAGATTTTTCAAAAATGTTTCAAAACAAGTATATTTATAGCACCTTGTTTCTTAAAAATTCTTTAATAATTATATTCTAAACTTTCAGTTGGGTCCCATTTATATAGCCTTGGCAAGCCCAATGGAAGTCTTCAAATGGTTATAATAAAGTGGCAGGACATACAGGAGACAGAATCTGCAACGTTAGCATTACTACACAATTGTGGGAATTGCTGAGATTGGTTAGATGGTAGGAAGCTGAGAAGGTCAGACTTATTTGTGATCTGTTTCCCCATCACAATATCAGCTCCATGAGTTCAGGGTCTTTGGTTAGCTCAAGGCTATAGTCCCCAAACCAGGACAGTGCTTTTATGTACTTTTATAATTTTTCAGCATTATAATGAATATTTACTGAATGAATATAATTAAATCTATTATTCACATCTCAGGTAGGATGAAAATTTTTACCATTAACAAATTCACCATAGAGTCAACCAACTGACATGTAAATACAGGACACGTAAGACACATTACACATCACACACATTTATCACACATTATGGGAAGAACA